AACTGATCGATGCTCGGTAAAGGGAAAGGATCCATTGGGCAAGCCTTGTTCAAGTCAGTGTAATCTACGCACATTCTCCAGGTCGGTGGTTTCGGTGCCAAAACCACATTGGCGAGCCATTCCGGATATTGAACTTCCCTAATGTGTTTGATGCACAATAGCATTGCTACTTCCCCCTTAACAAACTCTTTCATGTCCAAAGACATGTACCTGCGTTTTTGTTTGGCACAAACGACCTTTGGATCCACGTTCAGGTGATGAACTGCTATGTTGGGGTCAAGCCCTGGCATATCCTCATGTCCCCAAGCAAAGATTTTCTCAAATTCCACCAAGATTTGGACTATTTTTGCCCTCAGGTCGGCCTGGAGCCCTGTACCAATCTTAATCTGGCGTTCTGGGCGGGTTGGATCGACTCCGACCTCCTCAAGCTCTGAAATAGGTTGGGCTTTGAATTGTCCCTCCTCAAATTTTGATAAGTCCTGCTCGATGGCAATTACTCTTGCTTCATTTCTTCCATGAGCCTTGCAAGCCCTCACATGGTAACTCTTGGCCATTTTCTGGTCTCCTCTTACTGTGCCTATTCTCGCAGGGGTGTAGATTTTGAGGCACAGATGAGCCTGGAAAATGGTAGCTCCCAGATCTTCCAAAAGAGGTCGGCCAAGAATTGCTTTGTGTACACTTGGCAGCCGCATAACCACAAAGTCTGTCTCGACAGTCCTCACGCATGGTTCCGATCCGAGCTGGATCTTGTGGGTGATAACCCCTTCGGGTTCAATCGTGTCCCCGGTAAAACCTGACAGCGGGGTTTTGATCAGTTTGAGGTCTGTCTTTTGAAGGACAATCTCCTGGAGTGTATTCATGTACAGAATGTTAACCAAACTCCCATTATCCATAAGGACTCGGTGGACAATGGTATCAAGAACCTCCATCTTTATCATCAGTGCATCCCTGTGTGGTGGAGGACACGGTGGTAGGTTATCGTCGGTGAAGATAATGGACTCCCGCTTCTGATTTTTGTCTGCAGGAAGGCGGCTGATTTCGCCAATAAAGAGCTGGCGATTCCATTTTTTCCTCTCTACCCCTGTGTCTCCTCCCACAGGTCCGTCGTAGATCAGTGTTGGAACATATTGTTTTGTTGATGACAAACAACTAATGTTACTTTTGATCTATAAGTGATTGCAGGAAAGGAAGTTAAGTAGTGCTTCGTTTTGTTGATGACTAACCACACAGATGGAATGCATTAATACGTATAGCTCATGGAAAGTGTTATTACTATCTTTATAATAGTGGATCGATGCTTTTAGATTTGCTAGAGAAAGTAGTTGTCTTACTTTAATATTAAATAATATTATTACTTTATTTCTAAGCATATGCATTGAATGGACTTAATGAGCTAATAATGTCTTGCTTTATGAAAGTTGACCATGTGATTCCTATACTTGATAAAGTAAATATTTTCTTTCCATAAAGCTATCTTTGATTAAAATATTTTAAATGGTTGTTGGCATGAACCATAGCTTTTTTTTATAAAAGGCTATCTTACTTAAATGGAATAATTTTGGTGGATTGATTGAATATTTTAATAAATATTTTTGAATAGAATATTGCTTACCTAGTGTGAACCGTTGCTTCTTGCTATAATAGGAAGAGATATTCGCTTTCCATATTATCTTGAGACCGTTGTATACATTAGATATTCTCTCAATTGACATATTCTTATGTGCTACTAGAATATCTTGTGTCTATCAATATAATTGACATATGCCTTTAGCTCAAACTATGAGACATATTATTCAAGAAAGATAATTCAAAATATCAAGGAAAGTCCAAATATTCAACCAAGGAAAGGAGAGGCTACGGATGCTATATATATTAGACTGAAGACCAGACCAAAGGGGTGTGTGCTTAACCAGAGAAATATCAAGAGACAGGCTCGAGAAAAATACGAAGTTCAAGGCACCTGAAATTGCTCACTCGGAGTTCTAGATAGAGTTTCTTCTTTCCCTTCTTCATATTGCAATGGGGTTTTGAGGATTGACTAAGAGTAGCCTCCTCAGGTTGGTTTGTATGTGTGAGAGCTTTGTTGTAGAGCTGAGAGACTCTCTACCCGCAAGGTAGAGAAGCGTAACTCTTCCTAGAGAGGATAGAGTTGGGGTGGCTCAAGGGTAGACTAGGAGAGTTTCCCTTGTAATCATTCAAAGGCTTTTTGGTGGAGTTGTTAAAATTCCTCCAAGGGAGGTCGAGGTCTTTTAATTCCTTTGAGCCAAGAGATTTTTCCTCGTTAAATTCTTGTGCACTTTACTATTTCGCAATTCCCTATACCCCGCACTAGAACTTGGCGAAAAACTGTCACGGTTCCACACACACACAATTCACCCCCCCCCCCCCCCCCTCTTGTGTTGCAAACCGTTTCATCAATTGGTATCAGAGCCGGTCTTCACCACGTAGAGGTTAATACCTTAGGAAGAGATCCGGCAAAATGAATACGGTTGACCGATTGGAAGAAGGGTACTCGACTCAATGACCACCATTGTTCAATGGTAAATATTATCAATTCTGGAAGAGTCGGATGGAGAACTTTATCAAAGCCGATAATTATCAGCTATGGAATGTGATAGAAAGTGGTGACAATGTCATCACAAAGATAAACGGTGAAGGTAATGTTGTTCCTAAACCTAAATCTGAATTTACTACTGATGATTATCAAAAACTCGAGCATAATGCCCAAGCACTAAAATATTTGATTTGTGGACTTGGTCCTACCGAACACAACCAAGTTCTAGGATGCAAGTCTGCCAAACAAATGTGGGATTTGCTCGAGGTTACTCACAAAGGTACCTCACGTGTAAAAAAATAATCTAAAATTGACATATTTATGCGTAATTACGAATTATTCGTAATGAATCCCGGAGAGTCAATTAAGGATATGATTACACGTTTTACTAATATCATCAATGAGCTTTCAGCCCTTGGAAAGTAAATTAATGTGGAAGATCAAGTGAGAAAAATATTGAGAAGCTTGCCCTCGGTATGGAAGCCTAAGACCACGGCTATTGAGGAAGCAAAGGAAATTACTGTGGAAGATCAAGTGAGAAAAATTCTTGTGCACTTTACTATTGGTTGACGTGCAGGCGCTTCTGTCGGCCTGAATCTTCCCCCTCTTCATCATCCTTGAACTGGGCTCCAACCTCCCTTTTCTTCGAAGTCGAGGATGGCTTGTCTTTTCCCCTGCTCCAGATGTTCCTTTTCTGGGGATCCTGATTCTGCCGAATCTTCTTCACGAACTGATCCAATTGTCCGTCGTGGGCTAGTTTTTCCACATACTTCTTCAGAATGTAACAGTCGTCGGTCTCATGGGTATCGCTTCTGTGAATTTTACAGAACTTACCCTTAGGGTTTTGACCGTTGACGGCCCTCAGGGATTCCTATATATATAGGTTTTGGTTCAAATAAGAACACGATCTTATGAGAGAAATGAGAACGAATCTGGACCGTTAGATTTCCTTCAAATGAAATTCAGTGTACATTAGATGAAACTGTGATGTGCATTAGGTGAAATTGAAATGTGCATCACAAAAGGTACGATAGAGTGGCATTATGTGCAGTTGAATTGTGCATAATGTGAAATTGAAATATGCACTAGGTGAAGTTGAAATGTGCAGAATAAAAAGTACGATGTAATGTTATTTTGTACTTTTTTCGCACATATCAGTTTCATCTAATGCACACTTGAGTTTACATTTTTATTTTGCACATTTCAATACGAAGTATCATTTAATGCACATTTCAGTTTCACCAAATGCACAATTTGGTTCCACATAATACAATCTGACGGTCCAGATTCGTTCTCATTTTTCTCCTAAGATCTGTTCTTATTGGAACCGCTCCCTATATATATATAGGGAGAACACTAGTTTTGGTGATAAATAACAACGGTTTAGAACCGTAGATTTGTGAAATCGGATGGTGAGATTGAGTGCAGAAAAGGGGCAGCCTATTTTGTTATAAAAGGAAATAAATTAATGGCAGCTTCTAGTCAACTTAAAGATTGTCACGTTAGGGGTACTTTGGAAACTTGATAATTAAAAAAAAAACAGAAGTTGTATGCAAGGAAGGCAGCAGATGTGGTTGAATCCCATCATTATTGTCATTGCCAAAGTTAGAAGACTTTAATTTAGTAAGTTTCTTCTCAACCATAGTAAGTAGTTTAAATGATGGAGAGAAGAGAAACAAGGTCCATAGCAAAACGTGAACTATTGTGCATTTAGAGAATATTAGTAATGCTAAATAATAGGATGCACTTTTAAATGAACTAACATGCAATTAGGCAAGCACATTTGTGATACGTTGTGTTAATGTATCTGGTACATTTATGACTAATGAATTGTGCATTTACATAAAAGCATTTGTGCTAAATTAGATGAATCAGTTTGAAATTACTTAGTGTGCAATTGGGTAAGCACATTTGTGATAAGTAAAGTGAAATTATGTAGTACACAAGCACATTTGAGATACATTGTTTGAACTTATTCTGGCACATTTGTGATAAATGGACTGTGCATTTCGATAACCTCAGCCGTGATAAATTATAGAAAGCACTTTTTAATGAACTAGTGAGCAATTAGGCAAGCACATTTTTGATATGTGGTGTTAATGTGTTTGGTACATTTATGAATAATGAATTGTGCACTTACATAAAAGCATATGTGCTAAATTAGATAAATCAGTTTAAAATTACTTAGTGTGCAATTGGATAAGCACATTTGTGATAAGTAAAGTGAAATTATGTAGTACATTTGTTAAATTATCTAGTGTGATAAATTAGATGAATTGTGTTGATTTGCTTGAATGCGTGTGGGAAAAGATGATCTCTGGCACGCATTGTTTGAGATTGATTGCACATGGAATGTGCATTTAAGTAAAATCATTTGTTCAAAAGTTAAATCATTTGTTTAAAATTATCTAGTGTGGAATTACGCAAACACATTTGAGATGCATTGTTTGAACTTATTCTAGCACATTTGTAATAAATGGAGTGTGCATTTAGATAACATCAGATGTGCTAAATAATAGGAAGCACTTTTAAAAGAACTGGTGTGCAATTAGGCAAGCACATTTGTGAAGGTTCTGCTTGCTCTGGCAAAATGTGAGCCTCTGCGTCATTATGTGAGCGTTCTGGCTGTTCATTACTAACAGCGCTAAACACAGGACCATGACTGGCTTCTACCAGTTTGGGTTTAGCAGGATTCTTGAAACCGACTCTATTGCACACAACATATTTCCAAACAACAGTGTTTGTCCTAGGCCGGCAGTCCTTAGTTTGAGAACCAATACGAGAGTCGAAGCCACAAGCACCCACAAACTGCCTATAAAACTCAATACCGTCCTCAAGGGTTTTGAATACCATGCCAAGCCTTAGTTTGAATGTTTCATCACATTCAGGGATCCAATACTTGTTTAATCCAGGAGATATTTGTAAAACTTCTACATGAGTAAAAAAGAAACATAAATGTTTATAGTTATTCAAAGAAAATAAAAACACAAACACAACAACAAAGACATAGCGCTAAACGATGAAACTTGGCGATGAAACTTAGTTGATACAGGAACTTAGAAAATTGATGATGAAACACCACGTAAGAGAAAAAATTAACGTTGAAACACAAACAATGAAGCTTATTCACAAAAATTTAAAAAACAGGGAGAAGAAGAAAGAAAGAATTATTGGAGATGGTAAGGAAAATGAAACGAAAAGAAAAAGGAAATCAAAAATACGTACAAAAAACAAAAGCAGGTCAAGAAAAACGAACCTTTATAGTCAGGATGTCGAGCTTGAGAGATTTCACGTACATGGAATGGCTTTTCGTAACTGAAAAGGAAAGGAATCAAACGTTTAATTGATTGACAAAATATTATGGAAAGAAACGTGGAAGGAAAGCTGCATACGTACAAAAGGAAATAAATTTTGGAATGACCATCTTGGCCTTTGCATGCACACATGAGAAGCTGAAAAAATCAATTGATCTAATGGCCAGGATTGTTTCTTATTTATCACATTAGATGGTGTTCTTATTTGAACCAAAACCTATACATACATACACACACACACACACACACACACACACACACATGTTCTAAAAATCGTTCTAGGCGCCCGACTAGTTCCCGCCTAGGCGCTAGGCGGTGGTCAGGCGCCCCGATTTTTGTCTAGGTGCTCCGACTAATTTGTTTGCCATATAGGTGAATTAGTCGGCCGTCTATGGCGCCTAGTTGCCCGCCTAGAGCGCCTAGTCGGCCGCCTAGGCCGTCTAGATTCGCTGAATCTTACTTCACTTTTTAATTTTAATTTTCTAAACGATATATGTACTTTAACTTTAACCGTGTATATAAAGAAATGAAGTTGTAAATTAAGATAAAACTATATATGTTTGTATATATGCCTGAATTTTATCATTATTTTGTTAATGTATATGTATATATGTATTTTTTACACACAAAAGTACAATATGATAGTATTATTTATCATATTTATGCAAAAATATAGATAAAAAATGCTATTTCTATGTCTCCGACTAGTCCCCGCCTAGGCGCTGGGCTGGCGCCCGACTAGCGCCTTTTAGAACATTTTATATATATATATATATAGTATTAAAATTGATGAGAAATTTGAAAGAATATGTTTACTTATATTTTCCTCACATAACTTATTCAAATCGAAAAATTTTAAAAAATTGGTTGCAATAACTTATAACAAACACAATATTTCACAATTAAGTTCATAGTTGTAAAAATTGGCAGTAATATCTAATAGTTCAACTCTTTCACTGCTACACACACACTCCCTTCGTCTCACAATTAAGTTCCTAGTTGCATTTTGGGTCAATTTTATAAACTATGATCATTTTTTTATGGATAAGAGTCAGATAGGGCCTCGAACTTAGAAAAAATGTCAAATAAAGTCATATGTAGGAGGTTTTGTCCGGTCGTCACCATTTGAGGCGGTTCCCGGTAAATTTTTTGATGAATTTTTTTAGCATCTTATCTATTAAATCTAATTTACTCATACCAAATTTCAGCTAAAACTTCAATCGGGAAGGCATTCAAATGAATTCTTGAAGATAACTGCTCTTTTAATTGCGCAATTATTTTTAAGAATTCATTTGAATGCCTTCCGAATTGAAGTTTTAGTTGAAATTTGGTATGAGTAAACTAGACTTAATGAATAAGATGTTCAAAAAATTTTATCAAAAATTCCACTGGGAACCGCCCCAAATGGCGACGACCGAACAAAACCTCCTACATATGGCCTTATTTGACATTTTTTTCTAAGTTCAAGACCCTATCTGACCCTTTTCTCTTTTTTTATTAGACTCTAGTATAGTTTTCTGGTTATTGTGTGTTGTTCTATCAGACATCAATGGCAAGTTTGGAACATATGGTGAAATAATAGAACACTGTTGAGAAAATGTGAACAAATACAAAAAGGCAACTTAGTTCATTCAAGTGTATCCATTCTGACTTTCTCCACCAGTTCAAGTAGCCTATGACTCTATGAGTCATGATGATGTGCAAGTCATGTTTACGTTTGTTTGGGAAGAAAATACGAATACTCCCTCAGTAACATATTCCCATTTGAAAAGTAGGTGGATTAAGAATTGTGAAAGACTGAAAGGGAATATAAATTATTGAGGGTATGATGAGAAGATGGTGAAATAATATGATGGAATAAAAGATAAATTCAAAAAAGTAGGTGTTATAGTGTATTATTTTTAAAATTATTGAGAGTATGATTGGAAGATTATGAAATGAGAAGATATGAATGTTACATCCAAAAAAGGAAAGTGAGAAGATATAAATGTTATGGAGGGAGTATATTTTTGGCCAACATCTCTCGCTTCCTTTTCAACAAGGACAATGCTACATCATCATCACAGTGGTGCCAAGGCGAGGCAAGCACTAGTTCCTAAAGTCTAGAGCGAAATTCATCAAAGGATGTGATAGAAGGAAAGACTACATCTCAAAAGAAAATTAAGAAATATCACCAAGGTATATTACATCATCAAGAGCCTGATTTTTTTCTCCAACTATTCTTCAAGCTCTTTCAACTTTTTCTCTGCTAGACGGATTGACTCCTTTCCTATTTTGATATACTCCTATACTCTTCATAAAACGTACGTAGCTTATCCAATTGCTGGAACTGAGATTCAGCATGTACCGCAGCCAATGCACTCAATTTATCACCAGTGTATGATGCCTTCATCCGTTGCTGCCATGACATTAGAATTCATCATGTGTTAAATTAACATAGAAAAGCAACACAAATATAACATATTTCCCATGCAACATGCATCAGAAAATGAGACTTCATTTTCAAGTATGATAGAGCAACTTGCAAAAAAAACCTTTATAATAAATTCATCTTCCTCTTCAGAAGAAAAGGGACGTTCACAGCATGACCAAATATGATTATCACGAGCAAAGTTTTCAAACGGCACAATCAGTAATTGCATACCATTAGCTTTGTTATATTCGCTGCATTCAGTAGTATACAAAAAAAATATGCTATAGAAAATGCCCACAAATGCTTGGCATTGAAAAGAAATCCTTTGGATCATTAAAACCATGTAACGGCAAACCTTTTCATAGATTCGCTTTTGTCTGGTCGAATCCAAAAGCTCAGTGTAAATGTCAATACTGGCAGGAACTTGGTCAACAAAATGGAGTTTGGATTCAACAAATCTTTTCTTTGCTTCAATTGAATCAAAGAATATTGTATGAGCATCTACACAAAAGAATTTAGCTTAAAACGGTAGAAAATTCATAATATGACCTTCATTGCATAATGTGTAGGAATAACACACAATAGACTTTCTTGCAGACATAAAGGTAAATCCCCAAAAGATAATAATGAAAAGGTTTATTATCATGTACTGCGACATATATCTTTTGATCGGAACTTCTGCATGACCTTGCAGATTTCTAAAAAATTAGGGAAAGCAACTACAAATAATTCCCCGTCCATCTCAAAATAAACTTCATACTTTCCTTTATGGGTTGTCCCATAATAAACTTTGAATTCCATAAAAGGAAAGAAAGAACCATGCATAGTTGTCGATGGCGTCAAAATGTCAAATGGCGCACGCGCCATGCGCCATGAGGCGCACTTATCACCCCTGTGCTACGTAAAAGGCCTGTGGCAAGGCAAATACACATGGCGTCGCCATTCTTGCGCCTTCGCCATTCCTGCGCCTTCGCCATGGCGCTGCGACTGGTTTTTTAATAAAAAAAAGTCGCGTCTTTGAGCTGTAAGTTGTGGCCTTTTGGGCCATAATTATCTGCGGCCCATTATAACAATAAAACTGTAAGTATGCCAAGGTGGCCTGGGATGACATCTGTCTCCCTAAAGAGGAAGGGGGTCTGGGCATTCATAATGCCAAGGTGTGGAATCACGCCCTCCTCGCTCGCACCCTTTGGGACGTCCACATGAAGAAAGACACCCTTTGGGTGAGGTGGGTGAACGGGGTCTACCTTAAGTGTAGGACCGTGTGGGACTTTGTCCCACACACCCGGGACTCACAGCTCATGAAGCGGTTGAGTCTCATTCGGGATAAGATTCGGAGTTGCTTTAATAATTTGAATGATACTATCTTAGGCCTTAAATCTCGTACCACTAATGGAAAATTAGCCTCCGCTAAGATCTATGAATTGTTAAGAGTCAAGGGTGAAGTTAGGACTCCTATGAGTTTCATATGGAAATCCTACATCCCCCCAAAACTCTCTTTTAACGTGTGGTTGGCCTTGAGAAACCGACTTCCTACCCAGGATAGCCTTGGTTATCTCCACATTGTAAACAGGTGCGACTTATGCAAGGGTGGTTTGGAGACAATACCACACCTCTTTTTCCTATGCCCATTTACGTGTAGGATATGGCAGCAGATAAGGAATTGGATGGGACTCGGGCATGATATGACAACGTTGCTAAGTGCAATTAAGTGGATCACGAAGACTCATAGAGGATCGAATATGAAGGCAAAGGCTGCTCGTATTGCTTTTTGTGCGACAGTTTACTACATTTGGCATGCAAGGAACGAAGTTAGATTTGATGATGGCAAGAAGACGGAGGAGGACATTATAGCAAAGATCAAACACGTGGTTTACAAGATACTCTTTAGTATCTACCCGCATGAGTTGGTCACCTTTTGACATGGACGCTTTGAAGCCTCGGCTTTTATGGATTTGTGGATCTGTGTGCGTGCAGTCTTGCAACATCGATTTGTTTTTGACGTGTTGGGGCATTTAGTATTGTATACTTAGGCCCCAGTTTTGATTTTGACTTTGGGATTAGATCAAATAAAAACCTCTCCTAATCCCTACATTAGGTAGGGGTGGGGGGCTTTAGGAGATCTTGAACCTTTTGATGTATATTTTCTTGGGTGTTAATATATATTTACATTTCATCCAAAAAAAAAAAAAAAAAATAAAACTGTAACAAAAACTTACTATTTTTAGCCCATATTACTAACAACAACCCTAACCAAAAGTCAATAAACACAACAAAGTGATAACACGTGAGAAGTTAAAGCTGCTCTGCGCAAGAAAGGGTATGCGACAAACGACAGAAAGGCAAACGACAAGGGGGGCTCTCATTGACTTCTTCCAACTACACAAGGTACGACTACCTCTTTAATGCTGTGTATAAATGAAGAAAAGTTCAGTTTATACAGTTACAGTTTATCCAAAACGTTATATATATATATATATATATATATATATATATATATATATATATATATATATATATATATATATATATTCCTGAAAATGTGAACTTCATGTGCTATGAGTATTAAATACAGAGCAGCTCAGCCTTTAATCCTTAATGTTAAATGCATAATATATTAATATGCTATGATACTTTATGTCTTTATCAATTTATCACTTTAAACTTTGAAATAAATTAAGTTAGATAGATAGATGCTAATTAGGTCCGAGTAACCGATAAATTTTCACGAACCGCCGGTTCCTTTTAGCGGGTAGGTTCTGTCCTGGTATACCAATTTCAAAAATAGGAACCGAACCTTACCCGCCCCGTTTGAAATGGGCCGGTTCGGTCCGAGTCCTCGATTCCTTTTTGTAAAAAAAAGTACGACTATGCAAGCAAAGCTTCTAGTAAGTTCTAAAATTCTCAAATTAATAACATATTAATGTAACCAGAATATAGTATTTATTCAAAATAAAAGTATAAGACAACATATTAAATTAGTTAACAAAATATCGAACCACAAATCTATAAATTAAACAACACACAATCAACTCAATTAAAATTGTAATCATCGTTCATAAACCAATTAAAAAGACAGGACCATAAATTCATAAGAACTTAAACTAGTTACTATACATATTCGTCTAAGAAAAAATTTAAAACTTATTAAATTTTCAAGTATAAGTAAAATTAAGACAAATTAAATTAATACGTCACACTTCATTGAGTAAGAGTCTTTATTTACAAAAATATTAAATCGTTTGGGACTAAGGCTTAGATGTTGTCGTTGTTGTAGAGAAAGTTTGATGCATTTGGAATAGAGAATAGAGAAAAATAGTTTAAGAGTTTAATTATACGGACTTGGAAACTAATTTTAATAGACCGAGAAGTTTTTTTAATTAGAAGTCTTTGTCTAAACACAAGAACATGAAGAGCTTTCATGTGTTGTTAGTATATTACTACGTATATTATACTAGTATTAGATATTTTAGAAATTATTAAAATAATATTTAAAAACGGTTCGGTCCGGGTACCCCTTTTTCAAATTGTAAGACCCGTTCGGTTCCTAGGTTTTTCAGGACCCGCCCCGAACCATTTGGATTTTCTAACATTAGGACCCGACCCTAACCCGCCCCGAACCTGTATTACCTGGCCCGACCCGCGGTTCCAGTACCCGTTTGCCCACCCCTAGATGCTATGATCAGATAATTTATAAATTCAAATACTTATAGCATAAGCATAGTAAAATGAAGTTTAAACTGAAAGTATTAAACTGATGCTAGTAATTTAAGCTGCTAGTAATTTAGTTTAAACTGAAAGTATGATCAGATAAATAATTTATAATGAAGTATTAAATTAAAATATTTAAGATGCTATCATGCTAGTAAAATGAAGTTTTAAATACTTTATCAATTTAGTTATAGCATTGTAAAATGAAGTTTTTACTTTAGAACTTAAAGTATTTAAACTGATAAACTGATACACTTTAATAAGTTAATTTAGTTAAAACTTTACACTTTACAGTTTAGAGTACCTTTAAATTGATACTTTATCATTGGCTGAAACTTTGTTAAGACTTAAGATATGCTCATAAGTTGATAAAAGCCGCTCAATTTAAACTTTAGAACTCTGTATTTAATATATACTACGTATCATTTACTTTATGTCTATCAATTTATAACAGTTTACACTTAACGGTTTAACATATACATAGATTTTAACTTATGAGTTATGACATTGATCTGTTGGCTAAAAGGTCAAATAGGTACATGAACTAACTTAAAGTGTTCAATTAGCCCCTTATATAGGAGATTCTGCCCGGCCGTCGCCAATTGGGGCGGTTCCCGGTGGAATTTTTTGATGAAATTTTTTGAGCATCTTCTTCATTAAGTCTAGTTTACCCATACCAAATTTCAGCTAAAAATTCAACTGGGAAGGCAATCAAATGATTTTTTTGAAGATAATTGCGCAGTACATTTCGGAAAATCGTTTGACTGCCTTCCCGATTTAATTTTTAGCTGAAATTTGATATGGGTAAACTAAACTTAATGAAGAAGATGCTCAAAAAGTTTCATCAAAAAATTCAACTGGGAACCGCCCCAATTGGCAACGGCCGGGCAGAACCTCCTATATAAGGGGCTAATTGAACACTTTAAGTTAGTTCATGTACCTATTTGACCCTTTAGCCTTGATCTGTTTTATGATAATTGTTATTACAGAGGTAACCAAAGAGGCAGTGCCGCAAAGGATGTCTGTTGCCTTTGCTAAGGAGTTCTGTGAGAAAGTGAAAGAAAAAAACAACAATGAATTGCACTGCAAGTACTACGTGCACATGACTAAAGCTGGAATTACAAGGTTTAAGCAACAATTGACTGGGAAGCACCGCAACACAATACAGTGTGAACTCATTCCCGCTGATAAGAATCTGCTGCTAACTCAGAAAAACAATGTGTGTGAACAAACCTTTTGAAGTACATATACAGTACAGCAGTCTAGTGGGTCAAGTGCCCATAGGGTGAATGGAAGAACTGTGAAGACGGGGGCACAAGGGATTACTACTTACATCTACAGCCATACCCTTGTTCACGACTTGATGAAGGAATTTACCAAGGGGAGAGAGCTAGTTAGACCTGCTGACACCCGGTTTGCCACCAACTTTCTGACTCTTCAAAGTCTTCTCACGCAGAAACACGCATTGAGGCAAATGTTTGCTTCACCGAAATGGTATGAAAGCGAGTTTGCAAAAACTACGGAAGGTAAATCTTGTTTTGAGTCGATTTATCGTCAAAGCTTTTGGAGAAGTGTTGCCTATGTTATAAAGATTTCTTTGCCCATAGAGAATTATGGATGGAGAGGTGCCTCCAATGGGCTTTATTTATGAGGCTATGGAGAGAGCGAAATTGGGAATAAAAAACACATTGGGAGGTAAAGAAGAGAAATACATGCCTCTTTGGAAGATAATAGATAAGTTGGAATGAGAACCTGCATTCTTCATTACATGCAGCGGGGCATTATCTCAATCCTCAATTCTTTTACCCTAATTCACGGCAAATCCTTGAAGATGAAGAAGTATGTGATGGCTTTATAAAGTGTGTGGAGAAGATGTTGTCCACTAGCATTGCAGTGTAGAGTTCTCAACTGAGATATCAAACTATACAAATGCTAGAGGAAGTTTCTGAACTAATATGGCAATGAACAATAGGGACAAACAACCACCGGGTATGCAAACTTTAATCGGTTTTCTCTTTCTTATGTAAGTATTTTATTTACTTCAATTTGGTAATGAGGTAACCTACTGCCTACGAACTTATTTTAATTAACTTTCTGCTAGAACTAACTTTGTAGGTTTATATAAATTGGATTTCAACTTTCCGGAAACTGGAAAGTCCTAAACTGCAACCTACTGTCCTACAACCTACTGTATGGACTGGATAATGTAAAATCTGGGTTATAAATGATACTACCTCCGTCCCAAATTGAGTTGCAATTTTGACTTTTCTTGGTCAAACGGATTCGTTTTGTTCACTTAATTAGGGTGTCAATTTTTAATTATATTCCATTTTGGAGTTTACAACTTTGAAGAGATTTCAATGTAGTTTATGAATATGTAAATTTTAATTATTAAAAATTGAATTTATTATCAATAAGAAGGTTTGACTTTTATTATTGGTTGACCAAAAAATGTTGACTTTGCAAAACAATTTGGGACGGAGGGAGTACTTAAGATATATGAAATCTATTGTCATTCTATACAATCTATACCATTTAAAATTTGAGTTTTGGTAGTCATAAAACTACTGTAATTGACTAATTGACCTACACTTGCAGTCAACTTACTGTTATGGACTGGAAATGGTATAAATCTGAATTTTGAAAACCTGAAATAGTGAAATCTGAGTATTGCCTTCTAGATTATTGGTAGCAGGCTGTAATAGTTAAATGATGGCTAGCACTTGCTGTAATTGACTGCAAAATTAAAATGGAAAGCTGAAATTTTAAATCCTGAAATCTGAGTATTGTTTTCTAGATTATTAATTAACACTTGGTTGGAATTTTAAATATAGTTGACTGGTGGCTTGCAAATTGCTCCTCGTCTCCCACTTTGCAACATCTTGCTGTTCGGATCCTTAGTTTAACTTGCAGTGCTTCTGGATGTGAACGAAACTGGAGTGCTTTTGAAAATGTAAGTTCATAAATCTTCCTTTCATATTTAATTTAAGTGTTTAACTATTTAAGTTATCTCACTATCTGTAGTTGATTTATTATGTACTTGTTTTAAGTTCAAACCAAGAAAAGGACAAGGTTGCTACCAAAAAAAATGAATGATTTGGTATACATTCGGCAGAATCAACGTCTTCAAGATCAAGCTTTCAGAAAAATGAAAATATGTTTGGATGACATTGATGATTGCAATGAATGGATTGATGAAGCTGCCGAGCAAAATGAAATAAATTGGGATGTAGTGGAAGAAGTTGTTAATGTTAATGAAGCAAATCACAACACATGAGCAACAACAACAAGAGCATCAACACTTTAGTTGCAAGACAAAGAGGAGCCAGAGGAGACAGAGGAGGAGGAGGAGGAGACAGATGAGGTTGAAGATCCCTCTGATGATGAACTCAATGAGGATGATGTGTCATTGCTATCAGATTCAGACCAAGATGATGAGGAGTGGGATGATTGATGATGATTATGGCATAATCATCCAACAATAACAAGCTAACAAGCCTAAATCCTAACATATTTTGCATGACAAGAAACTTCTTTTGAATATTAGTTTTTTCGGAAGTACTTTAAACTACTTTAAAGTACTTTAAACTGTTTTGGTGTTGTTATTCAACTTTTTATCTTGTTTTGGTGGTTGTGTTGATCAAGTATAGTGTCTATAGTTCGTTTTTGTGTTTTTTTTTGTCAAGTGGCGACGCCATATTTGCGCCATCGCCATCGCCATGGGAAAAGGCCTGTGCGCCATGGCAGTCGTCATGCGCCATGACAACTATGGAACCGTGCATTGGGCGTTTATATTGGGACACAATGATTGGTACAGAAAATGTGTTAAAATCTATTTTATCAATCATACAAGCTTGTGTATATCAGTCCATCATATCAAGCATGTTATGGAAAACGTGCTTACATTCCGCTTCCTTGTTAAGTTTGTATAAGTTATCATTGACTCCATCAATCTTTGCCTGCACCATATTTAAGTTCTTCTCTGCATCACGAGCTTTTACACTAAAGTCTTCAATTTCTTTGTGAAGAGTGCTGCAGTAAAATTTCCAAGGCAAAACAAAACCTGCATGAACGTCTCTCCATGGGCAATCAACAAGAAAAGAAAACTAAATACATAAGAAACATTGATGCACTAAATGTTTTTAAGCAATGAAACATTGACATGGAATAAGGGACCCATTGCATCTGGTGCGCCCATGTGCGAGTTTAAGAGACATGGAAAATATCATTAATGCAACTATCGGGTAGTACTAGCAATTCATAAGCTGTCTCTTTAATCCAAGATTGCACCTGGAACAAACCAATAACTTCGGTAATAAACTAATAATTTATGAATACCGTAAAGCAAGATAACTGACGCTAAGGATGGACGTGAAGCCAGAACCAAGCACTCTGTTAGAAAATCGTCATTGTGGTTTTTGTAGTAATGGTGATTGGTAAGTTGTTGGGGTTGTGTTATGCGCTCCCGCACATTGGTTAAAAGTTGGCCCGGGTCAAGAAGCTCATGTTTGACACCCTAGACTTAGTTATACCAAACATATATGAGATGAGTTTGGACAGATCACGCCAGCAAATAAGATGGAAGGAAATGTCCATCGAGGCAATGTGATACCAAGAGTTGTAGCAGTACTCAACCCATGTAAGCCAATGAATCCTGCGGATATGTTATAAAGCAGAAAAATAAAATCAACGGGGTGAACCGTTGCCCAAATAATCAACGATAAATAAATACCGTTGCCCAGAGCCAAAACGCTAAACCAACTTTTATTCCCCGATGATCAAGAATGAAGCATACAAGAGGTATAAATAACCCTCTAGGTCTAATAAGAATAGGAATCCTAATTAAATTATTCTAGGAAACTAAATAGAATAGGAAACCTCTAGTTCTAATAGAACTCATAATTAAATCATTCTAGGAAACTAAATAGAAATAGGAAACCTCTAATTCTAATAAGAATAGAAGTCCTAAATAAATCCTACTAAGAAACAAATTAAATTAGGAAACAAAAATAAAAGGAATAATAAATATTAATTAAACAGCCCGCAACCAGCCCACGGAGGTGGGCTTAAGCCCGTCCCGCCTTCGGTAAACCCACGGGGCTTCTGCCCCTCTTCTTCCAAGCCCAGATTTTGCTTCATATCAGGATAGCAGCTTGAAAATAAATCATAAACAACCCCAAAGTCTAATAGCCTGACTCCATTTTACTATCGTTAGCAGATGGTAAGCAGACGGTAAACACACATAATTTGTACCGACCAGCTGAAAAAGTCGTACCATAATGCACTCATAAAGCCTTATCCCTATCCAAAACTAAGGACTCCAAGAGGCCATATAATGTTCTTGCGGAGTTGCGGGAGGGTGGGTAATCCCATAGATACAGGGATCGCTAACATAGCCGCGTTTTCCGTTCTGGATCGCGCGTACCGGATCGCGGTACGTTTAGGTGCCGGTCGCTTCTGGTTCGCGACTCTGGTACGGCGGATTCTGGTTGCAGTTCGCGGTTTCCGTCCAGGTGGTACGCCGTTTCCGAGTTGCGGTTCGCACGTCCCCTCCAGCTTTCGACGAACCACCAGTCCAAGAGTCGAGTCGCGTCTGTGAATTGCTTTTTCCAAGCGACACAGGGTCAACGATGAACTCGGTAGTCTGTACTCTTTGTCGTTCGCACTTCAAAGATCAAAGCGATGGCTCACTCAAAATCTGAAAGGACTTCTTATTTCTTCAGATTTCACAGTCTGAAACGACGTTATTTTTTCCAAGCCACACAGTCTTTAAAGACTTCGTAGTTCACACTTCTAACCTTCGTACTTAATTATGGTACACAATTTCAAAATAATTTATGGTACACATAAGCAATTGATTAAAGACTTAATTATTTAAGTGAATTGTTTAATACTCCGTATTATATTAATTATATTTAATTAATTATATTTATACTTGATAAATTGTACTACACATATGTTTATGGCACACCGTACCATAACAAATGGTACAACGTTCCGCGTACCGAAATAGCGTACCGAAATAGCGTACCGAAGAATCCTACCCCCCCCCATATCAGATTTCTAATATTCGCGATCCACGTTCCCGTTTTCGTACGGCGTACCATAGCGTACCACGATCCATGTGACTATGGGTAATCCTTGATCTAGCAAGTGCTTCAAACTGCAATGGTCAATCCGTATCACAAACTCCTGGCTTTATTCATACGGCCATCAATGTGTGAACGCTTGCGGTCAACCCAATTAACTCAGGTTCACATGTTATAAGCTTGACATGGATCAGATACTTTTCTGGCTAAAACAGGCAATAGGTTGACCTTGTTGCATCAATGCATCCTCGTGTTTTAACTCAATTACAGAGGCATCACACTCCGGAATCTGGAGACATCCTCTTTGAAAATTTTGTAATAAGTCTTCAGCAGTTCAGTGGTTGAAGGTTGTGATTTCCCTCGTCTATCCGAATGAACTCTGTCTTTAATAATTGTGTCAGGGATCCTGTAATCTTGTTGGATCGCTGGATAAACTAATGGTAATAAACCAAGAGACCGAAAAAATCACGCAAGGCAATCATCGTCTCAGGGAATGGCCAGGTCATGACCACCTGGAGTTTTGACAAACACGCCTTTTGAGTTCCAGTAAAAGCACTGATGTAGGTCCAATACGCATTGCACAGGTTTTTGAGCTGTGTGTTGTCAATCAAGTGGAAGATTTTTAACCCTATTCATGCCTGATTTGAGGTACAACTTTAGGTAAAAGAATCCGGGTAATATCGTATCATCCGTAACGATTTTATTGATATGTGCTCTGTTATCAGAACCCAATTGAATACACGTGTGATCAGACAGCAGAACTGACTGATTTGAGGTACAACTTTAGGTAAAAAATCAGGGTACTATCGCATCATCCGTAACGATTTTATTGATATGTGCTCTGTTATCAGAACCCAATTGAATACACCTGTTATGGTTGTCACTAATCTATTTATCTCTCCAAAAGTTGGCTGAACTGACATCAGATACCGACTGTTATTTCATGTTGTTCAACTTTACTTAATGTGTCTTGCATAATGTTCTTAATGTGTCTGATGCTGATACAAAGTTGTTAAGAGAATGCATGAGGGATCTTGTCCATGGTCTTGTACGATATAACAAAAGGGGGTGTGTGGTTTGAGCGCCAAAAGGATCAATGCTTGATATCAAATTAATCAGTGCCCGACCGCCAAGACAATCAAAAATTAATTTTTCAAAAGGTAATTTACTGATCCAGCTGAGGACCTTTATATATAGTCCTAAATGAATTCCCTTTAAGAGCGTCGAATAAGTTACTCAACAAGTCTCATTAACAAACTAAATGAATGTGAGAAGAGTCAAGAAAATGAATTCCATTTAAGAAACATACATGATGCTTTATATTAAATATTGAGAGTGACTGAAATTCAAGCAGTTAACTACTGACCTCTGGACTTGTCTAACTTCTTTCTTCAAATCCTTGTCTGGAGGAAGCTTTCCTTTCATCAATTCTTTAATCCTATCCTGGCATTCATCAACTCTAAAGTGTAAAAGGAAGAGAGATATCAGTGGTGATAAAGACTAATGAACTGTTGGGGAGTGTTGGAAAGTAATAATAAAAAACTGGAAAAATAGATTGGAAATATGTATGTAATATTGCCACTTACATCTTGTGTATCTTTTTCTTGGTTTCCAGTTCCGCCTTCTTAAGGGAGAGTATAGCTCTGTCATCGGAATAAAAAACCATACGGTCTCTTTCACGCTTAAGCTCTTCGATTTTTTTATCTAACTTAAACTTATCACTCTTCTTAAGCTGAATACTACTTGGAAACTTTCGTTCTTCAATTTGACGATTCTTCCTCTCCAATTCAGCTTGCTGCATAGCCATAGAGAACAACAATATGAGGTCTGTACCTTTACTATTGGGTTTAGACTAGAGTTGAGCAGCAAAATCAAACCATTCCATGTTCCTTCTCATCCATGAGAGCAAAATTAACATTAGACACTTCAAGTTCAAGTCCATCAAGCTCAAGCTTCTTCTCTTCAATCTGCTTTAAAAGGCCGCTCTGCATTCGGCGATTGGCATCACTATCATAATCTGAAGCTCAAGAAGTAGCAACAAAGGCACAAGCATCACAAGTTAGGGGCAAACCTTCATCTCTGATTTAGCATGTAGGCTGGCCTCCATCTCTTTACAACGGTTATTCGCATTCTCAAAGTGACTCCATGCTGTTGTAGTAATCGCCAAGTTTGATCCATGCAAGCTAATCCAAATTACATCATTTTGCATTTATGACAGAGCATAAAAAAATTGGCCTTGAGCAAATAGGAGGGGCATTGATTAGATGATACAAACTGATTACTTGACATATATGAGCACATAAGCAAAGAAGTGTAGAGTCAAAAACACCTAGGACAACCGCCATCTTTCAAACTCAGCCCTCACACTTTCCACTTATTGCAATTTTCTCCCTTGAGTATAGGCATCAGTCATTCAAAGATTTCAACGGGGCAGGTTACGTTCAGCGTACCCTAGATCCACCATCTGCCCCACACTACCACCACACCTCAGCTTAAGATTTTAAGTGTCCACCCCTGACCACTATGATGCATGCTACGATGTAATATCATACAAAGATAAAAGAGCAATCAAGTAAAACCATGGGAGCGATAGTTGATTGATTTGCTGATTGATTTATTCTTATTTGATTTTAATACCTTTATCAGTTTATCTATTTTAAATAATCATTGATTTTATAGAATTATCATGGGTCATCTGGAAACAGTCTCCCTGTGCTATAGTACAGGGGTAAGGCTACATACATCCGACCCCCTTACTCCACCGTAGGTGGAAGCCTTTGTGGCACTGGGGTAATATTCTAGTGATAATATAAAGGTATGATATATTGTTTCATAGTGTATATTATTTTAAAGTGCAGAAAAAATGAACTAAAAGTAGTCATAAATATAAAATATATCTTACTAGATATTACATTAAAGTTGTATTATAAAAGGGGTAAAAAGGGACACACGTCACACACTCGCTGCCCATTATGAGTTTAGAGATAAACTATGGAACGTGTGCATAACACATATAGTATTTAGACATATACAAATATTAGGTTTGAACTGTTTCACCAAGTATTAGCTTATATAGCAACATAAGAAACAATACCACTAAAGTGTAGCACACTTACCCTACTTGGACAAATAATGGTTTTCACTTCTCACTGCCCTTTATGAGTTTATGGATAAACCAAGAATGCTGAGCAACCCTTTTATATAAACTTGTTTGAAACAATGAATACAGAGACCACCTTTTTATGCTCTGAATCCTTCACACAGTCTGCATGTCTCAATTTTATTTGATTCATGAGGCTCAGAGCAACTTTGCTGAGTTCACCGTCTGAAGTCCCTTGATAATTGTGTCCCTCTCATTCTTGTGTTTCATGTGAGTCTAAGCATAAAAATAACAAATGAAACAGCAAATTACTTTAAATAAATAAAAAATCTGTAATATAAACTTGTGCACGGGTCAAAGAAACTATGTTAGCTTCACTTTCAAGCTTGCTAATCTCCCAGATATAGCCTTTGATATCACTTTGAATGTAGAGAAAGAGCAAAAGTGAACACATGAGCTATTTTGTTCCACTTACAATCCACAAAAAAATCATGAACAGTAAAGGATGCTTGATTGTTTCTTGTTTATTCTCATTGTATGTTCTTAACATATGCTTGATTGTGGCTTGTCTATTTCCATTTTATATTCATTCATTTGATAGTCGAAAGGCTTTAGGTGTAGGAAATTTAACAATTCAAAACAAATGCGACCTTTGTCACTTAAAGATGTCCTTTCAAAACCTATGCATATCCTAAAAAGTGTCATGTTACGAAAAATAAGCATATTTTCATTGAATTCAAAGGAGTTTGTCGAAGTAAAAAATGTTCCAAAAGAGTTAGTATGCTGATTTAGTTTACCATATAAAAAATAAATATATTAGGACAAATGATTTACAAAAGTTGTACCGTACCACAATTAAATACTTCTACATTGATGCAACATGCCAACAAGAGTCTTCTTTTTGAAAGGATGGATTATATGTTCTCAACCAAAGTGCTTTCCACTTCAATAAGGGTTTAAAATAAGAAATGGGGAACCAATTGGAGCTTCATCTGGAGATAGGACTCTCTGCTGATTTCCAACCCCTAAGAGACAGCAAACTCTTTACAATTTGTGTTCGTGGGACCCGCGCTCAACCTACTGAAGCAGCCACATCAAGAATGTCTTCAGAACTGAATGTGTTAGTGTCAAGAACAAGTAAATCATGAACAACTTTATCACACAACTCCGTGAATAGATTAAGTACTAGACTTGAATGGCGTCTTTTGCGCAGAATGTTCTTCATTAACCTGAAAGTAATATGGTTAAGCTCAATGCCTCCATTAACCATCTCAACAAGTATCCTTTTTATGGTACTAACATCTACATTCTCACACAATCCAGATAGCATAAAACTGTAGGTGTATATGTTTGGGGCCAAACCAATTTCTTTCATCATGCTAAACACTACATACGCATCTTCAACAAGACCACTTTTGACTAATCCATCAATAGCAACAGTATATGAAACAACATCCAGATTGAGTTTCTCTTCCACGGCTTGCCTGAATAATCTGATGGCTTGGTGAAATTCACCAGATTTTATAAGTTCATTAATGATCACAGTGTGAATATGAGCATCTAGCACATCTTGATTCTTAACCATACCCTGATACACATCAATAGCCTGAGATGTCTTGCCTAACCTGCATAACCCACTCAATAATCCTGCAAATGTATAATTGTCCGGTTGGAAACCTCTATATATCATGTCGTTATAAAACTCAACAGCACCTTTAGGGTAACCGGCTTTGCAAAAAAAGCTTAGAAAGGAGTTACAAACAACTAAGTCGGCATGTATATCCAATCCATTGATGAGTATAGGCAAGAGGGTGAATTCTTTGCATAAACAAACCGTTGACATGATAGAGGAAAGTGTGTAAGGATCAGGGGTCAACCCTCGTTCCCCTAAACTACAGAAAACATCAATTGCTTCATCATAATTCCCTGTCTTTGAGAGACAATGTATAAGAACATTGCACATAATCAAATCGGGGAAGCACCCTATGGACTTCATGGTGTCTAGGATCTTAAAAGCTTTGTTAGGCATCTGAGATTCCAAGTATCCCTTTACCAAAGATGTGCATGTGACCATATTTGGCATGCATCCACTAGACACCATCTTATTTAGCAAATGATTGGCAAAATCAAGTTTGCCGAATTTAGAATATCCATTTATTACTATACTCCAAACAATGACGCATGTAGGAACACCCAAGACAATCATAAGACCTAATAATTGGGTAGCCTTTGATAATTGACCTGATTCGCAATAAGAGCTCAAAACAGACGAAAATGTCTCGGGGTTAAGATAATATCCATTCCTCAGCATGGTCCTAAGTACATAATGGAGATTAACCATATCATTGAGTTTACACAAATGGCTGATGGAAATGCTGAAGGTTAGGAAATTTGGTGACTCCATCTCCTTCAAAACTTGAAGTGCAACACTTGCGCAACCAACCTTGAACAATACATCCATCAATATGTTCCTAGAAAATGTGTTTGGCTTGTAGCCATACCTGAGAATCTCTCCAAAAGCCTCAATGACCATATTGTGCATTCTTCCAAGCCAGAAAATTTTCAATAGAAGTAATAAAACTTGTGGTTTTATCAAAGTACCAACATTCTCCAATTCCTCTAGAACACCTTTTATGGTTACAAACCTCTGAGTGAGGCGAGAGACTATATTAACCACGTGAACACAAGTTGCCTTGTCATGGAAGTAATTAGGTTGCTTAGCACACCAAAAGAAGAAGGAAAGAGCAACTAGATCAGAATGACAATTCAATATAGTGGATTGTACAACTTGCGGGGTGAGGATAACTTTGGAACTCCCAGGAATAGTAGAGAAAGAATTTTGATGAGTGTTCATCAGAAAATCATTAGTTGATAGGAGAAACCCGCATTTCGTTGATCTGTGTGATAGTTTGAATAGGTGTCTAGAACTCCATAACATTTCTACAATGAAAGATTGTGTAATCCAAAATAGATCATCAATGCTAGAGCTTACAAATTGAAACACCATTTTGCTTTGGAATTTTATCAATTCGGGACCTGAAAGATACACGAATTATCAATCTGGGGCCTGAAAGATGAAATGTATCGGTATAAGGCCCGAATGATGAAAAACTATCAATTTAGGACCTAACATTTCATATGTTTTGATTTACTTAATTTTTTATTAATTCTATTGCTAATACTTGATAATTTTTTCTTCACAAAAGTTTATTAGTTTAATAAAACAAAATAATATTTAATTTATTAAAAATTAAAAATAAATAAAATTTATGAGAATTTAGGTCCTATATTGATAGTTTTCCATCATCCGGGTCCTAGATTGATAGTTTTCCATCATTCGGGTCCTATATCGATGCATTTCATCTTTAAGGTCCCGGATTGATAGTTTGTGTATCTTTCAGGTCCTGGATTGAGAGTTACACTCACTCTAGTCGGCAGCTCACTCTAATCGGCAACAGGGGTGGATCTAGCTTTCAATCCAGTGGGGCCTAGTTTCAATATAAAAATAAATATTACAAATGTTTAACAAGAATAGAAGTGTACACCAAAATCAAATACAAATAAACAGATGACATAATTACAGTTGTAATCTACACGAAAATTGTTCAAGCTTGTCAAATACAAAAACGCATCCATAATATTTATGTTGTTTTTTCATCACTTCTATTTGATACAACGATAGTATGTCGTTAAACCAATATTCATTTTCTATTTCAACTCTACTCTAATCCACCACATAGTATGATAAGTCAACGTACTAAAAAGGTCTTTTGCCGTCCTTATAATTATTCTAAAAACAGTGAGATTAATATTAGCAATAGCTAATGGGAATGTGTTATTAATCCTGAACAATTAGTCAATGAGACGATTTTCAATCACATTAATAATAAGAATGGTGATGAGATTAATAGTCAAAAATCACAAATCAAAATTACATCAATATTAATGGGGCTCAGAATAACAATTGGATTTAATATATCATTATATTGCAAAGAATTCAGCTAATCAACTATAATTGGCCACGTGGATTACGACTCAGCACATGTGATGTCTACGGATTCGTTACTTGTTAAAATGAATTTAGTTGTAATTCTCTTTCTATTAATACTGAATTGAAAAGTAGTTAGAGTTGTCCAGAACATATCATCTTCTTCCCTAAACTCTCAGTAAACTCCGTATACAATTCTCAAGCTAATCTTATTCTCCTGCTAGTAATATAACTTGCTTTCTGATTACAATCCCTAAGTCATAGCAAATTGGTATCAGAGCACTGATCTACCAGGCCTACTTCCGCCATTAAAGTTCCACTTTAGCTCTGTCAACAATCGACCTGGCTAAGAAGAAGACTGTAGCAACTCTCTAGGCAAAAATGGAGGAAAGAATGGCAAGATTTGAGTACCAACTGACTAAACATAATTTAAAGAACGGACAAAAGTTTGCTAAAACGGCTCAAAAACTTGATATTTTTCTGAGAAATGCTACAAAAAAAACATGAAGAAGACGAAGTTTGTTCAATACATTCTCAATCTGATCAGAGTAATCACGCACAATCATTTTATGGAGGTACTTCTACTAGAACTCTTGGTTTTACTCCCAAAATTGAATTTCCGCACTTCAATGGCAGTGTCCCTAGAGTATGGATACAAAAATGTGCCAAATATTTTGAGTTATGCAAGATAGAAAATGGTCAAAAAGTAGATCTTGCTTCTTTGTACATGAATGATAGAGTCGAGCATGGTTGTTACGGCGTCGACTAGGCGTCACCTAGGTGCTGACTAGGCGTCTTGGCGGTGGAGGAGTGGCGCCATGCTTGCTCGACTCGCCTGAAGCTGCCAAGGCGTAACTTGGCGTCGATTAGGCGTCTTCAAATCGTCGTGGCGATGCCCAGAGCTTGTTTTTTTCCGACCCGACCCGGGTCTGACAGAAATCTAGGCACGTAACTGTTCATCCCGTCGGCCAGGTCTCTCACGCAGGTCGCCACCGCAGGTGGCTGTCGAATTATAGCCGCCTCTACTCCACCTCTGTCTCCAGTTCTCTTGCCCATTCTAGGTTCCTGAAACTTGCGGACTATTCAAACTGAAGTAGCCGCTGTACTCAGTTTTACTGTTATGCTACTCTTTCTTTTGTTATTCTTGCTTTTATTCCTTGTACAAACATAACTGGAGACAGCTGGAGACAACTGGAGTCCACTTTACCTTGATTTTCTTTTGTGAAAAAATTTGTACTCTGCATTGAACATCCGTTCTATATAATAATATAAGTCATTTATTGTTGTGTGTGTGTGTGTGTATATATATATATATATATATTAATTTAATTTAATTTGCAATATATTATTTAATTCTATATTAATTATATGGTGGTTCATATACATTTTTAATTTAATACGGAGCATGTAAGATATTATTTTATATTATATTACATTAATATATATATATTAAATATTACATGTGACATGACATGTCGCCTAATTGTCACCTAGGCCGGCGCCTTATCACCTAGGCAATATGGCAGTCGGCTGGCGGCGCGAGTCGACTTACCGCCGTGACAAGTATGGAGTCGAGTCTTGGTATAACAGCTATATCTCTATGAACAAATCTGTTTCCTGGGAACAATTTGTGATTGACCTATGTGCAAGGTTCAATGAAGAGATAGATGGCAACTGGCAATGTAGTTGAAGAATTTAACAAGCTTCAACAATCTGGATCTCTTAATGACTACTTGGACTCTTTTGGACATCTTAAGAGTCTTATGATTCAGAGAAACAATCAGCTTCCTGACTCCTACTTTTTGGATAGTTTTGTTGGAGGTTTGAAGGATACTATTAAACCATTCGTGAGAGCCTGTAAACCAATCAACTAGGCCAATGCTGTTGAATACTTGAATATACTAGATTGTTGGAAGGCAGTCTTGCTGCTTTTAAATCACAGCTAAAACAGGTTCTGGACAAACCTATTCTGGAAACACACACTACTTTGCAGAAAACTAATCAGAATTCCAGTTTTTTCAGCAATAGCAGGATCCCAAATACTGTTAATGCTGTTAAAACTAACTCCAGTTTCAGTAAGAAGCCACCTCTACCTGTGGATGTGGAAGAAAGTAGGAGAAATAATTTGTGTTTTTACTGTGATGAGAATTATGTGCCCGGTCATAAATGTAAAGCTCAAATGTACCAAATCCAGATTGTGCCTCTAAGAAGGGAAGAAGGTGAGACCAACTTGGAATGGGAAGAGGAATTACAAAACATCTCTGAAGAGGGGACACCTTTGAATGTTCAAGTCTTCAAGATGATGAATTGTCTCCCCTTATATCTTTACATGCAATATCTGACCAAAACACATCAAACTATGAGGGTAAATGGTAAAGTGACAAAAAACAAACTACACACTCATAGATTCAGGAAGTACCCACAACTTCCTGGATATAAACACTGCCAAGAAATTGGGTTGTAGAATCACCAATTCCTACCCGTTGGAAATGTCTGTGGCAAATGGTAACAAATTAGTTACTAAGCAGATCTGCAAAAGATTCAAGTGGAACCTACATGGTGTGGAATTCTCCACTGATGTTATGTTGGTTCCTCTAGGTGGTTGTGGAATGGTTCTAGGAATCCAATGGTTGACTTCTTTAGGGCCAGTTGTTTGAGATTTCAAACAATTAAAAATGGAATCCCACTACCAAGGGAGGAAAATCTTATTGAGACTTGAGAGGCAAAAAAAACTTGGAGAAGTTACAAATGATGAAAGGAGAGATGATGCTGAATATGATTACAGGGAACAGACATAAATATAATCATCAATTGTTTTTTATGATGGTATATCCTACTTCAGCAGAAATGGCAGCTCCTAATGAGAAGAAAATAGTTCCTAATCCTATTCGGAAGGTTCAAGCTGAATATGAGGATGTCTTTACAGAACCTACACTTCTGCCACCTCACAGAGAGCATGACCACCAGATACATTTAAACCCAAACACTCCACCTATAAATCTGAGACCTTATAGGTATCCTGTGATGCAAAAGAATGTCATCGAGGACATTACCAAAGAGATGCTGAGTAAGGGAATAATTCAGAATAGTCAAAGCCCATTTTCTTCTCCAGTGGTGTTAGGCTGTTAGCCAAAAAGAAAGAAGGAACCTGGAGATTTTGTGCAGACTATAGGGAGTTAAACAAACATACAATCAAAGATAAGTTTCCCATTCCTTTAATATACTCATTCCGTCTCTTAAAAATTTGTTAACTTTCCTTTATTGGTTGTCCCATTAATTTTGCCGCTTTCCTTTTTAAGTAAAAAATTTGTGGTTCTTGTGAATTATCTATCCTCTACGCAAGCCTCAACCACACAATTTTTACTTTAATAATCATCATGTCGGTCAAACTTGATCAAGTTTTAAGGGATAGATGGAGTATGATATAGTTGTAATCAGAGAAGTTTTTATAATTTTTATAATGCATTGTGATAGTAGTGTTTTCAAACACCTTGTATCATGTAGATATTGAGTTGGTATAACTTATAAGTGTAAGTGTGGGTGAATTATGAAGTATAAAATTTTTATAGTCATTGATGTTCTATAAGGAAAGAGAATACTTTTATTCTGCCTGGGCTGGTCTATTTGTTATTGAGTTAGAATGTTTAAACTTGTAGTTATTTCAGTCTTAGACCATGTCAAACTAAACAGACCAATTCCAACCAGACCAAATCAAACAAGACTTGGACAATTATAAAATACACAGAGAACAAACATTTACCAGACCAAACCAGAAATAATCAAATAAAAAAAATCAGTCTAAGTAAAAGCATCCTTACACACGCTTTATTCATTAATTGTTGAGTTACGCACACAAACCTTATTCATTATGCGCATTTCTCCTAACTCAATAATTGGCCAGCGTGCTTGTAAAAAAGATTATTTACTACAATTTTTTCAAATGGTCCAATGTTACATTAGGTTAGATTAAGGACAACAAATGATGGTGCCAATATAGAAAAGAAGCTCTTAGTACAATTTTACCACTTGCCTAGAAAAACAATGTCTTCAAATCAAAACAAAAGTATTTTAAATCATTACCCAACACTAAGTACAAAACCAGTGAGTTATCAATGCATATGCTGCTACGTATAAGGCTAAACTATTATCACCAAAGGAGCAAAAGTAATGGTAAAGAAAGTCCAACCTATCATATGACTCATACACATTCTAGGGAAATGTTAGTCAATAAGTTGTAGGGGAACACAAATTTTTGAAATAGATGAAGAGGATAGAATGAAAACTCCAGCCACCAAGTGTAGTTGCGTATCTATTTTAAAAAGTACTCAAAATTTCTTATTCAACTAACAACAGCATGACACCATTTTAATGGGGTAGGTCCAGTGGCGGAACCAGGTCGGGTAACTTGCGAGGGCACATTAACAAAAAAACATAATGAAGGAGAATAAACAAAACAATAAAAATTTAAATAGAAACTAATGTGTCATATGAATGACATTATCGGATGAAGAAATCATATTACTCTATGAAGAACCACTAACGTTAGGCCATTTTTAGAAACCAGTGTATAAATTCATAACATAGGGATTAGGGAGTGTGTCAAACAACCTAGAAAAACTACAATTAAAGTAACATGACTACATGAGTATATATATAAGGAAAAATTGATAGTAATAATCTCAACTATTGACGGTCCGCTCATAATAATCTCAACTATAGATTATTTCAAAATAGTCCCAACTTTTGAGATCTTCCGCCAATAATGGTCCCTATGAATAAATTCATTTAGTTTCTAAATTAAATGAGAAGAGATATATCAAGTAATCCCTATGAACATTCCTAACTTTTAATTTTTAAGCTTAATTTCTATTTAAAATTCACTTATTATATGAGGTAACAGTTGGTCATGGACCATTCTAGGCGGACTGTCCATATAGTTGAGATTATACAAAAATAATCAATAGTTGGGATTATTGTTAGTGGAACTGCCATGGTTGTGATTATTATTTTCAATTTTTCCTATATGTAATTGTAAAAGTTACATAATAAAAAACTAATTAAATCAAAAACCACAATTAATATTTACAATACAATTAACAATTTATAAAATGAAATTATGAGAATACAATTGCACAAAAAATGGGACTTGGAGTACCGGAGAGGCAGAGAATATTAGATAAGTAGCCAAGTCTGAAGCAGGGTCGAAGGTGGAACCGCAGAAGGGTTCTCGCCGAGTCGACGCCTTGGTAAAGCCACCTGTTGTCGACCGTCGTTGGGTTGCCGCCTGCCGGAGTGCTTCTGACTTTCTTATTTCCCTCCAATTGTAAAGTGTTTGGGAATTAGGGTTGGTTTGTCCTTTTTTCATTTCTCACCTTTTGTTTTAAAAAAAAAACACTTATTTTCTCAAATACTATAACTTTTATTTTTCTCGACTTCCGCGTCAAAAGTGATTTTACTTTTTCTATTACACAAAAATCACCTATTTTACCAAACACTACAACTTTTACTTTTCAAAATCACTTTTTTCTCAAAAATTATCAACTTTTATTTAATCAATTTTCCTCATTTCATTCAAAAACACTTTTTTAAAAGAAGGAGCTGTTGCAAACAGACCCTTAGACTGCTTAGACAGTTAGTAGGGCTAAAGGGCCATTAGGCCACAAAAATTGGGCTGCCACTATGGGATCCGCTTGGATGCTGCTGTGGCGTAGCACTTGTTTTAGGCTTTGTTTGCAACCACTTGTGCTTAAATAAAAGCACTTTTGGGAAAAAAGTTATTAGTAGTACAAGTTAGGGGTTGTTTACTTTTTTTTGCATTAAGTCCTGAATGGATTAAGATGACTGTCTGGATTAAGACGTCTGTACGGATTAAGTGATACAGAGATAACAAGTTGTTTACTATAGATGCTGAATGAGATGTCTGAATTATGTTTAATGACCAAATAACCCTTCAGACTGGAACACATGCCGAATGTATATTTCCTTTTTATTTTTTTGCTTTTTTGGAATCTCCACCATGTTTCATACCCAAAAACATCAAAAAATGTGAAGGTTTTACAGATCCATCATGTACGCATACGAAAATTGGCAACATGTTATACAGAGTAATAAACAAACAAACTAAAACTACACTGCTCATAATCTGCTGCAAACATGGATGCTAAGCTTAACAAAAAACAGATTTACATAAGGCAATCACAATTTCACTGCTCAATTACAGATAATTTAGCTAATTACTCCGAATAATATCATCAATTTACTAGCAAATTTGAAAAATAAACTGAACGAGAAGAGAACAATTAGATTGAGAATAAGGAAAGCCCTGCAATCTTATACTCCGTAAAAGAAATCAAGAAGAGAACAATTAGATTTAGAATAAGAGCAAATACATGGACGAAGACCATACAGAGCTTCTGTCATGCCCCGGACCTCCCCAGACACGTCAACAACCCGCCGTACAATACGAATAGTCAACCGCAGTCCAACACATTCATATTATACAAGGCGTCTCGAATATCATTCACACGTAAGCCATCCATAAACAACATAATAAGCAATCGTATACGTAGCGGAAAACATAGTTTGAAAACAAATGCCACACATGGCTAACATGAGCACGCAGGCTCTATAGTAAAATATTCACGAGCATGTTTATTAATGTTTAAAAACCGAATGGAGGAAGCACGAACCAAGTCTTCCCTCATAGATGATCTCTCGAGCAACGAGCACAGGAAGCAAGCTCTAGCCTCAACCTGAAAAATGGTGGTGGGACGCCCCCAAAGGGGTCAACACTCTATAGGGCTATAAAGTGCTGGTGTGGATGACATCTAATAGATATACAACAAGTATTTCAAACACAAGACCCTCAAATAGGGTGATAATATAATCTAGACCGTAACCCCAAGTTACCCCTTTTTAAAATATACTTACTTTATATATAAAGTCAAGTAGTCGGCCCATAGGCCCAAGGTTTTGTTTATCAAACATAGCCCAAGCCCCGTGACCCCTAGTCACAACAATACATAGGGTTCAACCCTAACACATATGTTTGCATTCTCGAGTCCAACTCGACTACATCACCATGCACCTTAATTAACATAAGCTAACTACTCCATTGTGCATTTCTTGAGTCCAACTCAACTACATCACCATGCACAACAATCACCCCATCATGTCTACCCAATGCAATTCTATGAGCACGAGCTCAAGTACATCTCCTTATATTGGCATAGACCTCAATTCCTAAGCACTCACTATGCCTAAAATTGAAATAGCAATAATCTATTTTGGGACATCCTTACGAACTGCCCAACCATGGTCTTAACATCACACTACATCAATTTAGTCACTTGAATCACAATCAAGTTCATCAATTACAATCAAATCCTTAGATTCAATTCCTTAACAATTACAACAATCATTAACTAGTATTTTAATACTATTAAGATTATTCTTATCCATCATATATTCCATTTGTAAAACCCTACATATTTAGAGATATGTAGCAGCAACTTAATCATTCAATGTAATACATAAATAATCATTTATGTATCTACACAATTCACATATGAGTAAAATGCCTATTTCACACAATAGTTCATTTAACTCTATTTTTATCAATACTTTACCAAATCATTTCCCATTTTATTCTTTGGAAAATAGATCAATATTCCATCAATAATTTATCATCATAATCCATGGAAAATATTATTTAGGCATTTAGGTAATCTCATGCTTAACCTACAAGTTGTAAGCAACTAGATGTCGATCCTCACCTCAAATGAGCTTTAAAACTTTCCTTCTCAATCCAATGACCAAAGCCTCGGCCAAGAAGGTTTGAGAACTGATTCCTTGCTTGGAATTGAGTGTTAAACAGCCTCCTCAAAGTGCTAGTTCAACCCTTAAACGTTGGTACGAAAACAGCCCCTAGAATGGGTGTTTTCCGGCTAACTCGTTTCCTAATTTTCCAAAATTTGCTCTAGGTTAGTATCTAACCTTTACATAAATAATAATAACTTTTTAAGGACCTATTATACACTTGGATTAGTGTATAATAGTTCCACCAACCGTTCATATCATTTGGAAAATGAAAGGAAAGGTTTTGGGGTTAACAACTCACTTTAGAAAGGTAGATCCGTTTCTGCGAGGTTGTGTTTTGCTCGGACGATTTGGAAGCATTCCACTGCTCCGATTGATGCAAATCAGACCTTCACGGATTCCTAGTCTTGAGAGATTTCTTTTGGTATCTCACACACCTTAATTGGATTGGTAAAGCTCGAGATATCAACACAACAGTCTCAGCACTCTTACTGCTCGAGTTTACAGACAGTAGCTCACTCCAGCTCGATTTTGGTATGATAAAATCTCCCTCCTCGAACAGAGACCACTCAAATAAGAAACCAGACTTCAAATGCTATCCAAGGACACCTTATACACGTTGTTTGGTCGAGTATAACTCCCATAATGAGTGGAGGCAAACAACACACCATTTTGTGCGAAAAATGGGGATGGTGGCCCAACATTTGATTCCTATCAAGTCTTGTGCAGCTCCTTTCCATGGTGGTCGGCCAAGCTAAGTCTTCTAACCCATTTTTATTTGTCTTGCAGGTACTAATATCATGTGAAGTGGTTCCCAATTGATCCCAATTATTTTGGGGTCCAAAATATCTACCAATACTTCCAAAAATGGAAAGATGGGTCCTATTGTTTTATCTTTTTTCAAAGATGTCTTTTTGCACTCATCCTAATTTATTTAGAACAAGTCAACTTCCTTAATCACATTATTGATCTCCAACATGTGTAGGCTCATCTCAATAATTTACTTGATGGATATTATAGAAAGAAAAATCCTACTCCCATTATTTAGCTCAATAATGTCAAAGATGGGATCATAGGCATTTGTATTCATCTCAAATCATCCTATCACTTATTTCAACATTTGTCATCCATATTATTGGGCTACCAGCCGTGTGGGTCACCCCCGAGTGGGCCTACGACGCCATTCTCGAATACTTGCTATTTTAGCGGGTTGAGCCCAAAATAATATCTGGGCCGCCCGCCCTTCCTCAACTTGTCTTGAAACGTTATGTATCACTATTTAGATAATGTTAGGCTCTTTTATTTATCAATAAGGCCCAAACTAGTATTCGCAAGCCCGACACTAATATACGAGTTTGAACAGTATAATAATCGATCATTAATTACGTAAAACATCAATCATTTACAATTGTTTGGGAATCAGAAATTCAATACATAAACTTTCAATTTTTAAATTGAATTTTCAAGGACGTTCGGGTGCGGTGTCACAAGTTCACCCCCCCTTAACAGGAATTTCGTCCCCAAAATTCACAGCTCTACTCGAATAGGAAAGCATACTGCTTCCTCATCAAAGCCTCTGTTTCCCATGTCTCTTCTTCGACCCGATCGCTCTTCCAAAGGACTTTAACCATTGGGACTTCTTTACTCCTCAATTTCTTCACCTTTCTATCGGTGACCTTGATTGGTTGCACAGCGTAGTTCAAATCCTCACGTACTTCTACAGGCGGCTTTTCCAATACGTGAGAGGGATCATGCACATACTTCTTAAGCATGGATACATGAAACACATTATGTATCTTTTCTAACTCCGGAGTCAGCTGTAGACGATATGCTACGGGCCCAATCCTCTCTATAATTCTAAATGGACCTATATATCGTGGGTTAAGTTTTCCTCGGGTTTGGAATCGAATGATTCCTTTCCAAGGAGAAACTTTCAAGAATACCTCGTCATCAACCTTAAACTCTAAGGTTCTTCGACGCTTATCTGCATATCTCTTTTGTCTATCCTGAGCCGCTTTGAGTCTATCTCGAATCAACTTCACCTTCGACTTGGTGACCTCAACCAACTCAGTACCCTCGAGTTTGGCCATGCCAACCTCGTCCCAGCATAATGGTGTACGTCACCTCCTCCCATACAATGCTTCGTATGGAGCCATGCCGATGCTTGCCTGATAACTGTTGTTATAGGCAAACTCCACAAGTGCTAAATGGTTGTCCCAACTTCCTTGGAACTCCAATGCACAAGCCCTCAGCATGTCTTCTAAGATCTGTATGACTCTTTCAGACTGCCCATCCGTCTGTGGGTGGAAAGCAGTACTGAACTTCAACCTCGTTCCCATAGACTCCTGAAATTTCGGCCAAAAACGTGATGTGAATCGTGGGTCTCTATCGGATACAATGGTCACTGGAACCCCATGTAGCCTCACGATCTCATCCGTGTACAATTTGGCTAACCTCTCAAGTGGGTAAGTAGTGTTGATAGGTAAGAAGTGTGCACTCTTTGTGAGCCTATCTACA